TCTTCCTGAGATCTGTTACGCTTGCCGCCATCTCCGACGTTCTTGCCGGTGATAACAGACTGGCGCAGACCTTCATCATGAAGATACTCCTCCACAATGGCGCGGTATTTAACAGCGTCGGCTTCGTCTCGTTCATGGACCTTGCCTTCTTTTTTATTGCCCTCAATTTTCTTTAGCATAAAAAGCGCTCGCTGGTAACGATTTTTGCGTGCCATGTTGGCCGTTTTTTTCCGAGATTTTGTATTGCCCTTACTGCTTAGACTGGCAGTTTTAAGCGTTGGCGTGCGGTTTGCACTCGGTCTACTTTGACTGGTAGACGGAGTGCCGTCGATTTTTTTGGTTGTTGGTTGGATTGGGTTAGACGCCGGTGTACTGTGACTGGTACAACCGGTATTGGAATCGGCAACGATCTCGTCGTCCGATTTCAACAATTCGTCCTCCGTAAGTTTGGTGGGTTTATACTCTCCAGCCACGAGTTCCGAGACATTGTCGGGAGAAATCATAACATATTCATAATCGTCCACCTTACCCGGTAAGACAGGCGCGGCGGACCCGAGGATATTTGGACGAAAGAAGCGACCACCACAGCAGCGTCCCATACCATGGCTAGACCACAGTTACTCCCCAAGGCGGTCATATATTGGAGAGGCTCCGCAAAAATACAGTCGGACAGACCCCTTGACTGCAAACCTACTCGGTGAGCACGGATCGCGTAACACTCCCGAGTTAAGGGGACCTTCAAACCATGATCAGAAAGCATTGAGTAGTGTGCAGCTATTAAAGAGCTAAGGACAATCACTCAATTCCTCCTGATCTTAGCTGGGCACCGTCCTGACAACGTACAGGACGAAAAAACTGTGTGACCCATTACCAGACGGCACCCTCGTGGAGGGTTCATAGAAGGATTTTTCTGCCATCCTGTATTTATTATATTTGTTATAAAATTTGCACGCCACTATAGAAACGATGCGCACTTCACAAAGGCCAAAAAACAAGTTATTGTTGTTTGCTCGCCGTCAAATGCTACTGTCAAAACCAATACATCAGTGATGCCATACTGCCTGAATGTTATGCCAAATCTCAAACATAGTAAGTATTTTAAGTGCAATATAATTTTTTGCTTAATGATTAATCACCACAAACACAATAAGATGCAATCCACATTTTTATCAATTAACATTTAACTCGCCTTAGAACTGCAGAAATACCGAGTGCTTGCAGACTTTTGATCGCTTGTTTTGCTACTGTTCACAATACACAATACACAATATAAACCAATTCCTTTTTTTAAACATAATTATAATTTATTGTCTTGA